TCGCGGGGTGGTCGTGGGATGGTCGCGGGGTGGTCGGGGGGTGCAGTGGATAACGTACTCGCCTTTCACCAATGCGGCCGGGGTTCGAACCCCTGACCGGACGTGAAAAGGTATGGGGTAGCATGCGCAAACCCATTGGTTTTCTCCGGGTACTCCTGCTTCCACCCACATTAAGATCCCTTGCGCGCTACCATCCAGGCCAACAAGAGTGATTGATATAAGTTGTAATAACTTGTCTAGATCACCGACAATCTACGTTCCAGATCCACCTGTTTTTCTGTCATTATGTGTGAAGATATTACGTCAAACCAAAAAGAAATCTTTTCTAACTATTGCAGCAAAACCAAGCACACCACCCTGGCTAGGGAGGACGGACTCTCAGAGGCCCGCACACGATTGGAGTTCCTTGAAGGGGGGATTGGCTCCAAACCTGCAGCAAAACAGGGAGGCTCTGGCAGTAAGCCAGATACCAAGTCCTTCAATGAGGAGGAGGATGTCTACGAGGAAATCTACATCACAAAGATCTGGCGAGGATCGGACAACAAACTGGTGGGTATTCAGAAGCAGTTAACTCATCACATAGAAATTGGATTAAAAACCTTAATACAAATATATTAATGATATCCTGCACTGCCTATGGAGGCACCGAATCTCAACATTCCACTGTTTCCACTTCAAAACTAGAATTTTGTGGCATCTTTTTCAGCTGAATTTTGTGCATTTCACCAAGATATAGTATTGCCAATGTTCCCAATGAATTTTAGATATGGGCTTAGGGTATATTTGATACGTTTTCAATATTCTGTACCCCTAGGTACCTAGTTAAACATGGCAATTGTTGAAAACTGGGGATACAACCAACTGTTTTGGGGGTGAAAACCCCTCGTTTGGGGGTTTCCGGGAATACTGGGAATACTGATTGCATATGACTTAGATAAAATCAAATTCTTAGGAATGCTTGTTGAGTTTTCTAATGCAATTTGACTGATAGCTGCTATATTTATAAACATTAGCTGCCTGCAATAAGTGGGGGGTAGAACGAACAAGCCTGGCCATGGTGTATGACCTGTCCCACAGGGATGGTTCCTAGAAAAACACTTGCGCATCTCGTAACAATTACAACATATTAGTATTATATATATCGTTATCTGCTCAATACAGATATAATGAATGTTGCATAGCCCTTTCCATATTGATGTCAAGATATCAAATATCATAATAGATCCTTTAGGATTAAAGCCAAAAATGAATAAATCTGAATTACAATAAAGATAATAAAATCAGGCTATAGATAGTGTGTAAGGGGGATTAAGTATAAAGATATAGTTTGGTGGTCCTGTCACAGCTGGTGTGCGTGTCCTAGTTTTGTTATCACAAAAATATGTGATGTAATTATAAAAGCGCCGCTGAACACTAGAAGACAACCTGTATTAATAGATATTCCTGAATAGCAATAAAACAAAAACATTTATTTAAAAAAGGACAATAGCATATACTGTACAGTTGTTTTATTTCGGGGGACTAAAATTTCGCGGTTGTACCGATAAGAACTAGTTCTTGGGGATTAATTTCGTATCACGCATGCAGGTACTTTTGTATTTGGGTTATGGGATTTATTTTACAAAAGTTTCATCAAAATAACGTAAAATATGACATTAAACTGGTGTTTTATCTCCATGATTTGGCATTAAAATGGTAAACATGTCTTTTATAACGTGCATGGTATCAATATTCACTAGGTGTTGAATTTCACACTTTCTTTAGTGACTTTATAAAGGCTTTATTTATAATACGGCACACAAATCATTAGTGGAAACCAGAACTTTTAATATCATTATATAACCTACTGCATATGCATGCTATGAAAATAGTCCAAGAATTGTATCACAATTAAGGAAAAGAATTTCTCCTATATGCACGATAGGTTTCCCAATGAGTTGGTAAACATTTTTGGTTACCCACTAGTGGGTAACACCCTGGACCTGATTTCATTGGTCAATCTTTGAATGATGATGTCACGTAACAATGCTTTGTGACATCATCTTCTATTGTTACGTCATGATCCATAGCAGTGGTTTTCCCCATCGGAAACAATGTTTTGTCCCAGGAAAACATGTGTTTTTTGAGATAAAATATGAATAACTGCAGTAATCTTTTAAATGTTGTTCAGAAAGCTTAGTGACCTTTGGCCTCTTGTTTTGTTTAACCTAAACAACTGTTTTGTAATATTTCATCAAATTTACTTGCAGTGGATAACACACTCGCCTTTCACCAAGGCGACCGGGTTCAATTCCCTGATTAGACGTGTGGGTTTATATATATAATTACCCCCAGGTACTCTGGTTTCTTCCCACATAACACCCACACACCCACCTTTTAACATCCAACATAAGCGATTGTTGATATAAGTTTAAATAAGTTGTTTCATAATTATTCTAAGAAATAATAAAGTAACATTCTTTTGTTTTCTTTCATAGGGGATTTTACCAGAAGTGACCAAAACAGATAATTTAACAGAACTAGCAGAAATTACTGAAAGTATAGTTTTGAAGGAAATACAGCAGAGATTTTCCAAAAGCCAAATCTATGTAAGTTTTATGAGTGTTGTTATATAACTGAAGTTGTTTCATTATTTATAAGGTTAACTCTTTAGAAGTCTTGTTTGATCACATGCTGAAAATACTATGAATTGTGATTTAGATATCATTTATATGTAATGAGTGATATTACCCATTGTCACAAGGAATAATGCATGTCATCAGGAATAAGTTGTGAAAGCAAAAAATGTACCATGAAGGAATTTCAGATTTTAAACTTTCTTTATATTGCATAGGAGAATCAATGTTCTGTTTTTAATTTCAACTTCATTTGTTGTAAATAAATCAGGCACATTTGTATATATACCACAGTCATATAGTGCATGATAATTTTTGGTTTCCTTTAAGATCTCATTAAATTTAGGTATTAAGAAGTTTATGTTTTCATTTAAGATCTCATTAAATTTAGGTATTAAGTAGTTTTTGTTTTTCTTTAAGATCTAATTAAATTTAGGTATTAAGTAGTTTATGTTTTCATTTAAGATCTCATTAAATTTAGGTATTAAATAGTTTATGTTTTCATTTCAGACATTCATAGGTGACGTGCTAATTGCAGTAAACCCATTCCAGGAGATGTCCTGTTACTCCAAGTCTGTGAGTAATCAGGATACAGTAGCGGATCCAGAGACCTACCTGGGGGGGTTTCCAAATTTCCTGGGGGGGTTTCCAGGTGGGGCAAAATTGAGGAAAATAGTGAAAATACATGATTTTTAAAGAAACTTCTCAGGCTGGGGGGGTTTCCTGAAGCCCAAAAAAACCTCTGGATCCACCACTGGGATATATTCAAAGGCGGACAACAGGAAAATTTGAAAATGATGCAATATATTTCCAAATGGGATTTTTGAAAAATCAACCCCAAATTACTTTTACTTACATTTTGCAAGTAAAAGAAAGCATGACCTCTTTTGATAACTGTCAAAGAATTGTAAAATCCTAATTTTGTCAGAATGAAAAAAAAAATGTATGTAATTAATTTGATAGCCACCGTTACCCAGCAGTTATTTATGGAGTTATGTCCCTTTATTCAATTGCTGAAACAGTGTCCACTTGATGTCTCGAGTAAATACTTTGACTTACATTTTGAAATCCTGTTTAAGTCTAGTAACTCCAAGTATGTTAAAAGGAAGTTATATTTTCAAAATTCTGATAACATAATACATCTACTCCAGACAATAGCTGTTAGAGCTGCTTTCTCAAAATCTTAACTTGAAATAAAAGTAAAAAGGATTTGTTAATTTCTTTATTAGATTTCTGCAAAATATCACAAAGAACGGGAGCAGTTACCGCCCCATGTGTATGCAGTGGCAGAGAGGGCGCACCAGTGCCTGATGCGAGACCGGGCGGCCCAGTGTTGTGTGATCAGTGGAGAGAGCGGAGCTGGAAAGACAGAAACATGTAAATTCCTGGTGCAGCATCTGTCACGCATCGCTGGTAGTGATGAGAGCAGTCTCAACAGTAAAATCAACCAGGTGAGTCCAGCGTTATAGCGAGCTGATCAGCAGAATGGACGAGTAATAGACAAGATGACCACATTGACCAGCTTTGAGGTGTAACATGGTTTTTGAGCCCTGGGCCAGTATTCATGAACCCGTTCTCATGCTCAAGCATGGATTGTGTGCTCAAGCCTAATTTCTTTTTCTGGTTATAAATTAATTAAAAAGATGCTTTGGAAAACGTTTGAAGAGACTTAAAGCTGAATACTGATTTCAATTTTTACTGTTGACTTTTTGGTCGTTTAACATGGTTTAAGCACGTTACAAGAAATTTGGTTTGAGCACAGAATCCATGCTTTACCATGAGAATGGTTTCATGAAAATGGGCCCTGGTGTGTTAATTAGTATGTGAAATTTTGATGAAGAGATCGTATATCTTGCCTCAGAATTGTATATACTTTGTAGAGGAAATGGACTTGTCAAGTCACAGCGATTAACAGCATTTGAACCCCAGTGTCAGTGAGCTGCTAGGTGCCTAACAGGTATTTGAATTCCACAGTCAAAGGCATCTTGTGTGGGGCCACTAAGCTGGACCTTAATACGTTTGTATGTGAAATAAAACAAATGAAATAGCATTTTCAAACATTTGTCCGTTGTAAAAATGATTGTGTGTTGTGTTGTAGGGAAACGCTGTCCTAGAAGCCTTCGGGAACGCTAAAACAGTCATCAATTCTAACTCCAGTAGATATGCCAAGTACATAGAGCTGCACTTCAACGACCTTGGCAAGATCATGGGAGGTCAGTCATTGGTTCTTACCAGAACAACTTGTGATATTTGTACACCGATGTAAAATGTGCATATTTTGTGCTGATGCTGGAAAAATTTATGTGACTGTTTTATAGAAAAACGTTACTGGAAAATCCATTGATAACACGTGTGCTTGTAAGTGTTCTGAGTCGAAATGATAATTACGATAGTTTTGTAAGCTTATAAAAAGAGCTTCTTGTACAAGTATCACATAGCTGGTATTTTTTTTAAATATTCTTTTGTCCGTCCAAAATCATTCATGAACCTCAGGTCTCTTTAATCTGAATTGATGTTTAGCAGAAGTATTTGATAAATTGTAAATGCGATACTGATAAGTGCAATTGAAATTTCAGTAATTGTATTTTTTTCCATTTGTAGCAAAACTGACGGAATATCTTTTGGAGAAATCCCGAGTGGTGTTCCAGAACGAAGGCGAATGCAACTACCACATATTCTATTGGATGTTTTCGGGTCTCACACCTGAGGAGTCCCATTTCCTCAAACTCCAATCAATCACTGCTCACAGGTAAACTGATAATTAATTGTTACTTGCACAAGAACGATGACTTAAGTACTGTATTTGACCACAAATCAGCCCCCACCCCTAGTGGAAAATGTTTGAACAAAAGTAGGGAGGGGGCTTTATTGCAGGCGCCCACCCTGTTCTCAGGACATTAACCAAAGCGGACAGGGGGCTTATTTGCCAATGGGGACATATTTGCAGTCAAATACGGTATAAGGCCAGGAAGTCTTAAGAATATTAAGTCTGCTGAAGGCAAAATTTGTTCTGTCCCTCGTGATGCTAATATGACTGTTTTATCAGTGATTGAACAGCATTTTTAATGTTCATGGATTCCAGTATGAACATAAACTGTTACATATTTTATAACATAATTCCTCATGAAACATTGAACAAATATTACTGTGAAATCACTAATTATCTTGGGATTTTTAATTTCGTTAATTCTGTATGTTACTCTGCAACAGGCAGCCTTAGCTCGTTCAATTGTCAATTATCTTGAACTAGTTGAAGTTGGGCAGTATCTCATAGACATATCATTTCTACAGTAGATATACAAATAAACCAAACTGAAGAACGGTAAAATATGTACAGTATGTCGTTCCGACATATATTTAGTACTGAATCATTATGATAGAGATTGATAACATTTTATCTCTTATAAAGGAAGGAAAATTTGATAAAATGATTGACCTGTTTGTAGATACATGCGTCACAAAGGAATCGACCCCGATTCCCTTGTCAACTCTGAGAACCGGGAGAAATTTCTGGAGCTGAAAGAATGTCTCAAGTTCATTGGATTTACTCAAGACGTATGTAAATGTGACCTGTTTTACCTCTTATCCATGGTGGGATAAAATGACTACAGGGCCTGATCCTGAACATTAGTTTTAAAGTTTTTGATGCACAAATTATATGAGTAAAGTCTTAAAATTCGTATCTGTCTAAATTGCATAAGTGTGCAAATCACACATGTTAGAACAGAAATTATTTTGCTTTTACTGAATATAGAATCTTGTCCCATCCTAATTTCTGAACAATTTATACCAAGAGGGGAGGAAAACTCTGATTCTTTTGGATGTAGATTCAGTGTTACTAAAAATAGAATTGTCTTGACCATTACTTTGAAGGGAAAACTTACAATTATAAATAAAAACCACAAACAATTTACAAGCTCACCCCTGTCCTAGTAAAACATAATTCATCTATCAAGAATAAAAGTTGATCAGAGGTTTTCTAGGGAAATAGACTGCCCTGGTAACTCTTTCCTTTTATCCATACTCCATAACCTCTGACCTCTGACCTCTAACCTCCAGGACATGGAGAATATCTTGCTGATGTTGTCGACCGTCCTTCACCTTGGTGACATTACATTTACGACGGGAGGCATGAACGACATGGCCGTCATCACTAACTCTGGACAGGTCCAGCTGGGTGAGGCAAACATCACTTAAACATCTCTCAAATATTATAGCAAAGTTTTACTTGTCATAACTTGACAAAGGGACCAGTTGGTCTAGCAACGTTGCAAAACGTTTAATATGTACATTGTTTGTGTAGAAAGTAAAACTTTGAAATCACATATTTCCAAACTGATGAATACTATTGAAGATCTTTAGATATTAATTAAGTTTTATTTTTAAAAGTTAAAGAGGAAAAGAGAGATCCAACACTCCTAAAATGTGTTAGTGTTCACAGGGGAGTCGATAAATACATCTCTGTGTGAGAGTTACCCATGCATCCGGTGCTGAAGAGAGTTTGTAGAAGATATTATATAGGTATAACCTAACCATAAGGTGTTCATATTTCCAGTGTCTGAGTTGCTGAAGGTCTCTGCCGAGGAGCTTGGGTCATCGTTTGTATGTGACTACACTGTAACTAGGGGTAAGACTAAAACTCAATCAATATTTCAACGGATCTCACTTTCTTGTATTGAAAAGTTATGGCATGTATGGTTTTGACCTGTTGTGTAATGTGCATGACCTTACCGACCTTTTCACTTCTGACTTTTATATATGTCACCCTGGAAAAATACTGGCCGCTTCCTACCGACTTCACTATGGAGAATTTCTCTTTAGCTCATTCGGTAGAGCGTAAGACTCTTTGACCTTTGTATGATGTACATGACCTCCTGACCTCTGCATGTAATGTGTATGACTTCCCTGACCTTTATATAATTTACATTGTCTCCCTGCATGATATTACATGTGTATACCTGTGCCTGTGTGATATTTCATGTGTATACCTGTGCCTGCGTGATATTACATGTGTATACCTGTGCCTGTGTGATATTATATGTGTGTACCTGTGCCTGCGTGATATTACATGTGTATACCTATGCCTGTGTGATATTACATGTGTATACCTGTGCCTGCGTGATATTACATGTGTATACCTGTGCCTGTGTGATAATACATGTGTATACCTGTGCCTGCGTGTTATTACATGTGTATACCTGTGCCTGTGAGATCTTACATGTGTATACCTGTGCCTGTGAGATCTTACATGTGTATACCTGTGCCTGTGAGATCTTACATGTGTATACCTGTGCCTGCGTGATAATACATGTGTATACCTGTGCCTGCGTGTTATTACATGTGTATACCTGTGCCTGCGTGATAATACATGTGTATACCTGTGCCTGCGTGATATTACATGTGTATACCTATGCCTGGGTGATATTACATGTGTATACCTGTGCCTGCATGTTATTACATGTGTATACCTGTGCCTGCGTGATATTACATGTGTATACCTGTGCCTGCGTGATATTACATGTGTATCCCTGTGCCTGTGTGATAATACATGTTTATACCTGTGCCCGCGTGATATTACATGTTTATACCTGTGCCTGTGTTATATTACATGTGTATACCTGTGCCTGTGTGATATTACATGTGTATACCTGTGCCTGTGTGATAATACATGTTTATACCTGTGCCTGCGTGATATTACATGTTTATACCTGTGCCTGTGTGATATTACATGTGTATACCTGTGCCTGGGTGATATTACATGTGTATACCTGTGCCTGCGTGATATTACATGTGTATACCTGTGCCTGCGCGATATTACATGTGTATACCTGTGCCTGTGTGATAATACATGTTTATACCTGTGGCTGCGTGATATTACATGTTTATACCTGTGCCTGCGTGATATTACATGTTTATACCTATGCCTGTGTGATATTACATGTGTATCCCTGTGCCTGCGTGATATTACATGTGTATACCTGCGCCTGTGTGATATTACATGTGTATACCTGTGCCTGCGTGATACTACATGTGTATACCTGTGCCTGTGTGATATTACATGTGTATACCTATGCCTGTGTGATAATACATATTTATACCTGTGCCTGCGTGATATTACATGTTTATACCTATGCCTGTGTGATATTACATGTGTATACCTGTGCCTGCGTGATATTACATGTGTATACCTGTGCCTGTGTGATATTACATGTGTATACCTGTGCCTGCGTGATATTACATGTGTATACCTGTGCCTGTGTGATATTACATGTGTATACCTGTGCCTGCATGATATTACATGTGTATACCTGTGCCTGCGTGATATTACATGTGTATACCTGTGCCTGTGTGATATTACATGTGTATACCTGTGCCTGCATGATATTACATGTGTATACCTGTGCCTGCGTGATATTACATGTGTATACCTGTGCCTGTGTGATATTACATGTGTATACCTGTGCCTGCATGATATTACATGTGTATACCTGTGCCTGCATGATATTACATGTGTATACCTGTGCCTGTGTGATATTACATGTGTATACCTGTGCCTGCATTCTGCGTGTTTGTAGGAGAACAGATTCGGAAGGAGCGCACTCTTCAACAGGCCAGAGACTGTCGCGACGCTCTGGCAAAAGCTATTTATAGCCGAATGTTTAGTTGGATTGTCAATGGTATCAATCAGATGATTCAATCCATTGTTCCAAGGTAAAAGTAATATCTTAAAGCTGACAGTGCTAGTTAAAAAGCTTTCAATCGAGATTAAAAAATATATATATTTCTGGTTTTGAGATCTTCCCCATCTCTTTAGACCGGGATTAAAACACTGGAATTTTTTATGCACCTGTAATATTTAGTCGTTACTGATTATGATATATTTATATACAATTATGATATATTTATAGACAATTATAATATGTTTTAGGATATATTTGTAGACAATTAGGATATATTTATATACCAATTAGGATATATTTATAGACAATTATGATGATATATCTATATACAATTATGATATATTCATAGACAATTAGGATATATTTATATACAATTATGATATATTTATATACAATTATGATGATATATTTATATACAATTATGATATATTTATATACAATTATTATATATTCATATATAATTAGGATATATTTATCTATAATTAGGATATATTTATAGACAATTATGAAATATTTATAAAAAATTATGATATCTTCATATATAATTATGAAATATTTATCGACAATTATGATATATTTAGATACAATTATGATATATTTATATACAATTATGATATATTTTTTATATAATTATGATATATTTATTTACAATTATGATATATTTATATATAATTATGATATTTTTGTATGCAATTATGATATATTTATAAAAAATTATGATATCTTCATATATAATTATGAAATATTTATAGACAATTATGATCTATTAATATAACATTATGATATATTCATATATAATTAGGATATATTTATAGACAATTAGGATATATTTATATACCAATTAGGATATATTTATAGACAATTATGATATATTTATAGACAATTATGATATATTTATAGACATTTATGATATATTTCTTGCAGAGAGGATCCACTACTTGTTGGGATTTTGGACATTTTCGGATTTGAAAATTTTGCCAAGAACAGTTTTGAACAGGTATGTACTGTATGAACTTATAGTTTATTGTCTGAAGTGAGTCTGTATCTTTGTACCTGCAGATGTAGTCCCCCTGTTAGTCACGTTTCAATACCTGCTAGGGGGACACCTCCAGAGTCACGTACACATTCTTTACACTCACTTTTATGCATTTGAGATCGCTCAAATGGGTACTGTATCTGGTGGACTACTCCACCTCTTTTGTCTGTACAAGAGTGAGTCTTTGTACCTGCAGACGTAGCCCCCTGTTAGTCACGTATTGCCTTAAATACCTGCGAGTGGGGTTACCTCCTGAGCCATGTACTTACATTCACGCTTGCTGATATTCACACGCCTAGTGGTATCGCTCGCTCGGCCACATGTCTTTTTCTCTCTTACACAGCAGGGTCGCCTGCCTTGTGTCGAGATCGCTCGATGAGTTAGTATTAATATGTATTTTGTATGTAAAGTACTTTGTTTGTTTTAGGTCATATTATGTTGAGTAGTTTAAATTACTTATGAGCAGCCCCCAAGAATGCCAAAATAATAATCTTAATTTTTTTATAACTGAACAAGTCACTAGTTTCGAACCTTAATTAAATTTTCTTGAACTATAATTACTTTTGTTTTGTTGTGTATAAATAGTTTATTATGAATACACAACATATATTATATATATATTTATCACAAGACAGCTGTGTCAATACACAGAAGTCATGTTTTTGGCATGCAAACTCAAGTAAGAACATTGTGCTGTCAGATATGTGAGTATGGTAATGAAGACAAGTAGACGTGAAGTCAAAGTGGTCATGTTAAAGATTTACCATTGCTCAGAGAAAATATATTTTTCATTAATATTCATATATTAAGGATCTTAAATGAGTTTTCATTTCATATGGGATTTTATGAAACCAGTCTTAGGAGTTTTAATTTTTGCGAGCCTTGACGAGCAAAAATTAAAACTTTGAGGCGAGTTTCATAAAAGCTCATATGAAATGAAAACAAATTTGAGATACTTTTTATCACATAACTCAGAAAACTTACATTTTGACAGGTTTTAAAGCCAAAATGTAGAGGGCTTGATCAAACGGAGACAGCCATTTTGTTACGCCATTCACAATTTATGTCGTCACGTCATTGTCAATATTATGATGTCAAAATCGATCTCTGACTGGCACAGCCAATGAAAAACGCTCCAGGGTATATAACACTAGTGACATATGTAAAAAATATTACACGGGCGAATTCACTGGAAAACAGGCCGATTATGTGATAAAAGTAAACAAAACATAATAAACCACTCGGCAGATTTGCATAAACCAAGTTTAAAAGTTCATGGATTTATGCAAAGTACACACAGATGTTTTTTGTATATACTGTTTAACCCCAGAAATAATCATGGTAAATCTTTGCCATGTGATAAAACCTGGATCCTTGATATAGGGAATTACTGGCTTGATGAATAAAATAAAGGGAAAAACTTTGGGTTGGGACCTAGTTAGAAAGAAAAGTATGGTTTTCAGATTTCTGGATTATCATTGTTTGATTGTATGCTATTTTTCAGCCATTCAAAAAATAAAACTTCTACCACAGTTTAAAGGACATTTGTTCATGGCTGTGTACTTAATAATCTTGATAATTTATTATCTTTTCTAGGTGTGTATAAATTTGGCCAATGAACAGATGCAGAATTACACCAATGAGCACATCTTTTACAAGGAGCAACAGGACTGTCTGCAAGAAGGCGTCCCATTGGTGGATTTTGATTACAAGAATAACCAATCAGTCCTGGACACCTTCTTTGAGGTTTGTACAACTTAGATATGCTTCTGTTTGCTTATTTTCTAATCATGGTGACTCAAACTGCCAATATTCTGGACTTAAAAGCTTTACAGATCTAGGTGACAATAGCTACTGGTAAACCTGACTTGGTAAAGCTAGGTAACTTTCCCTGATGATAGACTTCACTTATTAATCTAGATGACTCTAACTGATGGACTTGACTTGTAAGGGACTCACAGGTATTGTTACTTATTAATGCCCCTTATCAGATATACAGTGCCTTATAGTAATCATTATGTCCATCTATATGTCTATTTGTCTGTCCAAACTTTTGTGTCATTGTTACTAAAATTAGATAATGGGGAAGGTAATGGAGGAGGGTACAGAAGGTAATGGAGGAGGGTACGGAAGGTAATGGAGGAGGGTACGGAAGGTAATGGGGGAGGGTACAGAAGGTAATGGAGGAGGGTACGGAAGGTAATGGTAATGGAGGAGGGTACGGAAGGTAATGGCGGAGTGTACGGAAAGTAATGGTAATGGAGGAGGGTTCGGAAGGTAATGGAGGAGGGTACGGGAGGTAATGGTAATGGAGGAGGGTATGGAAGGTAATGGAGGAGGGTACGGAAGGTAATGGAGGAGGGTACGGCCCTTATTTGGGAATCAAAAACTCTTTTGGGTAAAAGTTGACATGTACTGTAGATGTGTAATATGAATTTTGAAAAGTTTTTAAGGTCAAGGTCAAGAATAATGTTACTAAAAATAGATCATTGGGGGGTGGTACAGTTCTCATTAGGGAATCCAGAAGACGAATCTTTTTGAAATTTAAAATGGTTATACACTGTGATATGTAGTTTCGGACCTCTGTTGCTACATATAGACCAAAGGGAGGGGGGTATTGTCAAGCACATGGCCCAGCCCTTGCTGACCTGTCAGTGTTCTAGTTGTTGTAATGTTTTTGTGTTCCTCTGACAGTTGATTTTACTTCCCACAAAAATGACACAAAAGTTCACTGATTGTGCCACATAAATGATTCTCTTGTATTGATTGCAATCAGCAAATGGAATAACAAATTTTGTAGTCATTTTCCTGTATTTGTTTACTGTTTTGCATTGTTCTGGTATTTTTCTGTTTAAAGAGACACACTGGGATCTTGGCAATTCTGGATGAGGAGAGTTCCTTCCCCAAGGCAACAGACCGTTCCCTAGCAACCAAGCTTCATCAGGGTCCAGGTGGGTAGTTATAGGACCTTACCATTATTTAGTTATGTTAAAAGAATTGTGTTATAACTCTAAAAATCATATCACATGAAAAGTATTATCATTTAATATTACATCAGTATTGCTTACCAGGTAAGCATACAAATATTTTCATGTGTTTATGTTCAATTTTGTCCATCATTTTTCCTTTAAAAAACTACTAGTCCTGAATGGCTTGGTGAATTTTGACTTCATTTGTCCTGGAGCATCATAGGACAAAGGGGACTAAATTTTGCATAACAGAGGGTGTGCCTCCCCCACTTGGGACCCAGTAGGAAAAAATTACCTTAATCTTTAAAATTCTTCTGCTTCAGTACGATTGGAGGGTTTTTAACCAAGTTTCGTCCCGAGCTTTCTTGGGCAAGGGGGACTCAAATTTTTTGTAAACAGAAAGTGTGCCCACACCCCCCACCCTTCGTGGGGGGCAGAGGGGCAGGGCCCATTGTAATAAATGTTTAAAATCCTTTATCCTTCAGTAGGCACAGGCGGGTAGTATAAGTCTGCACTTCTGGCGACAGGTCCAGTTGCACACATTTTGAAATCTGCTAATGATACAGACTATTTCGAAAGGATTTAATTATTTAGTCAATTCCATTTGAAATTGTTTACATGAGTGAATTTTCATCATTATAAAACAACATGATCTGATATCAAAGTAAGCTATGAATTAATTATTTAATTGGATCTGCATGTTGCTGACTTTTTCTTTCAGGAAAAAAGTATCGAGATGTGTACAAGTCACCTAAAGATATGGGAGCGGTATTCACGGTCGTCCATTACGCTGGTGCTGTGGTCTACAGCCTGCTGGGCTTCCTGGACAAGAACCGGGACACTCTACCCAACGCCGTCACTTACACATTGAAAAGTATCTAAGTACTGTATACCGGCACCAAACGCCGTCACATACACATTGAAAAGAATCTAATTACTATATACCGGTACAAAACGCCGTCACTTACATATTGAAAAGTATCTAATTACTACATACTGGTACCAAACGCTGTCACTTCTTTAAACCTTGAAAAGTATCTAGTTACGGTATACCGGTACCAATCGCCGTCACTTACACGTTGAAAAGTATCTAAGTACTGTATCCCGGTACCAAACGCCGGCACTTACACATTGAAGAGTATCTAGTTACTGTATGCCGGTACCAAACGCCGGCACTTACACATTGAATAGTATCTAATTACTAGATACCGGTACCAAACACCGTCACTTACACATTGAAGAGTATCTAATTACTATATACCGGAACCAAACGCCGTCACTTGCACATTGAAAAGTATTTAATTACTATATACCGGTACAAAACGCTGTCACTTATATACGCATTGATAAGTAGCTAAGTACTGTGTACCGGTACCCAACGCCGTCACTTCCACATTGAAAAGTATCTAAGTACTGTATCCCGGTACCAAACGCCGGCACTTACACATTGAAAGGTATCTAGTTACTATATACCGGTCCCAAACGCCGTCACTCACACATTGAAAAGTAACTAATTACTATATACCTGTACCAAACGCCGTCACTCACACATTGAAAAGTATCTAATTAATATATACCGGTACCAAACACCGTCACTTACACATTGAAAGGTATCTAGTTACTATATACCGGTCCCAAACGCCGTCACTTGCACATTGAAAAGTATCTAATTACTGTATACCGGTACCAACCGCCGTCACTTACACGTTGAAAAGTATCTAATTAATATATACCGGTACCAATCGCCGTCACTTACACGTTGAAAAGTATCTAAGTACTGTATACCGGGACCAAACGCCGTCCCTTACACATTGAAAAGAATCTAGTTACTGTATTCCGGCACCAAACGCTGTCACTTCTTTAAACCTTGAAAAGTATCTAGTTACGGTATACCGGTACCAATCGCCGTCACTTACACACTGAAAAGTATCTAGTTACGGTATACCGGTACCAATCGCCGTCACTTACACGTTGAAAAGTATCTAATCACTATATACCGGTACCAATCGCCGTCACTTACACACTGAAAAGTATCTAGTTACGGTATACCGGTACCAACCGCCGTCACTTACACATTAACAAGAATCTAATTACTATATACCGGTACAAAACGCTGTCACTTATGTACACATTGAAAAGTATCTAGTTACTGTATACCGGTACCAAACACCGTCACTTACACATTGAAAAGTATCTAATTACTATATACTGGTACCAAACGCTGTCACTTATTTACACATTGAAAAGTATCTAGTTACTATATACTGGTGTAAAAGATGTGGATTCATTAGGTTGCCTTACAAGAGTCAGCTGAAGGGAATTTCTCTTTAGCTCAACGGTAGAGCATCGGGCTGGAGAGCCAAGGGTCGCAGGTTCGAGCCCCTGCGACGGCAATATCTTTATCACTATTTCTCCTCCTACTACACTGGGAGTGTTCGCTGCAGCTTAACTTTCGCCTTTTTCACTGAGGGCGAAATAATAATAACAGCAAATATTGTTATACAGCATACCATATATAGTAATTAATGTGAAGGGCGAAATTAACACTGGGTGAAGAGGGATTTTCCCAATGAAGGGCAAATATTCAATGACTTTACAAAACTTTCCCGGTAAACGGTATTAACACAACTGATTGCTAGGGATGAATGGCTGCAGTTTGATCTAGGCCTGGAAATAGTTTTATGAATACTTCATATGACATTAATGTACCTTTTATCAGAAATTAATTTGAAATAATTAGATTATATTTAAAGAAACCTTTCTGGTACATTTCAGACTAACACATTCATTCTTATGTATTTATATGATGGGGATGTTCTCCCACCCTTCACACGTGTGTCTCCTGTTTTAGCCGGGAAAGATCAGCTTGTCACCATCTAGGGGGAGATAGCCTCGTGCCGATTAGCACGTGTTCAATTGTGACGTCATTAAAATGCGTAATCAGTAATTGTGACGTCATCAAAAGTGAATGACGATATGCATACCCCACATGTGTTTTTGTTTACAAACATGGCAGACTACTGTCGGTGGAGCTGTGACTGAAATAATAGGATGGGAGAAAAATAATCATCCCCTACCTTGAGGGTGTAACGGAGAAATCTCCAACCCTCGGGGTGATTTTTTTGTTTGTCTAACCCTCGGCAGAGTCTCGGGTTAGACCACCAAAAACATCCCCCCTCCGGTTGGAGATTTCTGTCACACCCTCATGGTAGGGGAAGATTCTATTTATCAACATGAAAGTTCATGACTTGAAATCCACGATGAAGCTTGTCCCTCGTTGACTCATATTGAATAAGTATCTTTCTCCATAGGTTGTGTGAATTTTAGGAAATTAATTGCACTTAAATGTCCCATTCAAATGCGCCAAAAGTGGTAAGCATCTTTAGGACACCTTTCTAATCCATTGGCAGTTGTGAACACCAAATTTAAATCCAATATTGCTATTTAAAAGACCTAAACATATAATGAAAATGTATACATTTGGTCTGAATAGTTAAGCATCAAAAATATAACCAAGCCTTATATAAAAGTTTTTTCAACTAGAGTTGTTTCCCTTGAACCTACTTTGCAGCAAGTGAGAGCCTGCTCATCAAGGACCTGTTTCAGTCCCGTGTCACCAGGACGGGGTCCCTGGCACCCAGTGCCCGGCAACAGAGGTCACGCAGGGTTACAACAAACAAGTCTCCGTTTGAATTCTTCAAGAAAATGAAAGGAGGGAAAACTGACAAGGTAATTATACAATATTCCAAATCTGATAATGTGAAATCTGTCTCTGCTCAATCAGTTTAGTCGCTTGTGAGGAGTTACTGTGCTAGTAATCGGGACAAAGGACAATCTCACTTTGAAAAAACAATATCATACACAGCAGTATATAATTTTGATCAAATATTTCTGCACGGTACATTCACTATTTCAATGACTCAATCCAACAGATCAGAGAAAAGAAGAATCCAACAGGTGAGATCATTTAAGGGCGTGATCTTACACAGAACTGATAAAGATGGTAAGATGGTGGGCACCAAGATCTCTCCGGTATATATCTTATGTTATTATATGTTTGTTGATATTTTATAGAAACCCAAAGGTGCAATGATGTCTGTTGAGAGAAAGGGACCGGCTACCATGGCGTACCACTTCAAGGTCAGTTCACTAAAGAATAACGGAGTTTAAAAAAAAATAAAAAAATATGTACAACATTTGATATAGCTCCCTATCTAGCTAACATAAGCCACTCTAATTATTTTTTTAGTCAGAAATGTCTTTAGAATGACCTCTGACATGACCCTTGATTGTATATGGTTAGATAGTTCACATAGCATCAATAAATGGGAGCAATGTGAGGATAAATTAGATTGCCTAAATGCTGAACATTAAGCAAGGAATATAACAGCTACCATTTTTAATAACAACAAAAAATATCATTATAGAGTATTTTCAGAATGAGATATCACTTTATAGATAATTGTGATCATGAAATAAAAAGTATCGTTGTTACGGAAAGATTATAGCAATGTGTCAAATATTTGTGATTAACAATCTTACCAGACGTTGATATCTTCTCCAACAGTCTTAGTATAGCTAAAATACTACCAGATACCCTAGAAGTATACCCTACACAACTCTCTGTCTCTCTCGTTTAGAATTCTCTGAATGATCTGATGGCCAAGATCCATTCAGCCAAACCTCAAATCATCCGGTGTATACGTCCTAACACTACCAAGACGGCCATGTTGTTCGTCCCAGAGTACGCCCTTGCCCAGCTGCGCTATACCGGAATCGCTGAGACAATCAAAATTAAAAAGTTTGGTTATTCCATGAGAATCAAGTTCCATGACTTCTTACTGAGGTATGTAGCTACATAGGATACTATTAATGTAGAATTTTAATTATTCCTTAAAATTATTTTCTTTCTAGTTCAATATTTCTTTTAAAAAAAATCAGTGAAAATTACTTGAATTGAAGTATCTTTCCAAAATCTCTTCTTTTGTATTTTGATAATACATTTCTCCAACTTCCTTTCTTTTTATTTTACATAAAGTACAAAGTGATATGATATAAAACATGCTCACAATGAACATGCGTACATATATTATTGCTTAATGAGGACATACTGTGAAAAAAAAGGACTGGAAAATAAGCCATTGACTTACTATCTAAATGATTTCGAAAAATAAGATTGCCTTACAAATAGACCGACTTTGAAAATAAGCATAAGTTCCTTACGGAAAAATAAATAAGACGCTGTTTATTATCAAGATTTAAGGTTATGTATATATGTGTAGCATTCAGCTGGAAAACCATTAAATTTGCTATTTATTTCATTTAAGTAAAACGACAAAAATGTTGCTGTGTGTAAACCTGCAGGAACTAGTAGCGTAACATTTGACGTCGGGTAAATCTAAAGAAGTCATTCTTGGCTGTGCACCGTTTGGAATGGGTGACTCATCACAGTTTCTGTCGTTAGCTGCTACCTTACCATGGGAAATTTTGCATCATCAAAATTTCGTATTTTGTTTTGCTGAAAATTGTTTAATTGTTGCGTCAATTTTTGGCATTTGACGATCCTGTGTGCTAAATTTCAGTGCGTTCCAAAGCTTATGGTTATTAAGTGGCTTTATCGGTGCTTTGGTAGTTATGCTGCTAAATGAGACATTGATCATAATTATGTATTATTTGGTAAGATTTCCAAAAAGTAAACTGCTATCAATTGCGTAATTATGTAAATACCTTGTAAATACCTAAGTGGATGTAGCAAGTGTACCAGAACAGCTGCTTATTCTTCCGTTGCTTCATCTGAACTTGAAACAGAAAAGTCTATGCAGTGAATAGAAAGTACTGTACTGTTTGGATTTCACTTAAAGTGATATCTTCAATGTAGCATTTAAATTAGTGGTGTCGAGAAAAGAAGTAGAGAAATATTGTAAGTCGATAAAATTGTCAGTGGCTTACCTTAGTATAATGCCATTCACTTCATTTGCCACCTTGTTTACCGCCAACTTATGTTTTTCTCTTTAAAAATTCCTTTGTATATTTCCCTCAATTTATTGCCAAACCCCTTTAAGACACAGAAATGTCTTTTGACATATGGTGGCAGTATAACAAGGTTTTACTGTATTTCAGTTTCATGACTTGATCTATCAAAGTAGTACAGAAATATTGTATGATGATAAATTGTCAGCGGCGTACATTATATTTGTATCAGGATGTCAGACATTTGACACTTACTACGTTTGTGTTGTGTGATAATGGTATTAAAGGTTGAGATGATTATGTATGATTACAACAGGTACCACACCCTGGCAGTCTGTCTGCTGGAACAACACAGCATGATACCAGACCTGGACAAATGTAAGCATATCTTACAGTGGTGTCAACTGTCAGAGGCCAAGGACAAGTACAAGGTAGGGAGTGTGGAATGGGGGAGTGTGTTGTTTGGGTGGGTGGGGATGGGGGAGTGTGTTGTGTGGGTGGGGATAGGGATGGGGAAATGTGTTGTGTGG